AACATTCTTCAAAATATCTTCTTTTGTGCACAACAGAACAAAGAAACTCATACAGGTTTGGAACAACTTGATGTAAGGAAATGATGACAATTTAAATTTTTTGGCCAAATGAAGCCTTTAAGTTTTCTGTAACATTATGTTCACATATGCAAACGTTGCATTATCTAATTAAATATGCACTCATTTGCATATATTTCCAGAATAATAAACTGAACATTGCATAAAGCCTGGTCCAATTTTTTTTTTACATATTAGAGTTAAAGGCTTTTACTGAGGGGATCTCTCTTTTAATCGCTCCATAAATCACAAAATACCGCCAGAAAAAAACCACCATATTTAGAGGTTACAGTGGGTACGGAAAGTATTCAGACCCCCTTAAATTTTTCACTCTTTGTTGTATTGCAGCCATTTGCTAAAATCATTTAAGTTAATTTTTTTTCCTCATTAATGTACACATAGCACCCCATATTGACAGAAAAACACAGATTTGTTGACATTTTTGCAGATTTATTAAAAAAGAAAAACTGAAATATCACATGGTCCTAAGTATTCAGACCCTTTGCTGTGACACTCATATATTTAACTCAGGTGCTGTCCATTTGTTCTGATCATCCTTGAGATGGTTCTACACCTTCATTTGAGTCCAGCTGTGTTTGATTATACTGATTGGACTTGATTAGGAAAGCCACACACCTGTCTATATAAGACCTTACAGCTCACAGTGCATGTCAGAGCAAATGAGAATCATGAGGTCAAAGGAATTGCCTGAAGAGCTCAGAGACAGAATTGTGGCAAGGCACAGATCTGGCCAAGGTTACAAAAAAATTTCTGTTGCACTTAAGGTTCCTAAGAGCACAGTGGCCTCCATAATCCTTAAATGGAAGACGTTTGGGATGACCAGAACCCTTCCTAGAGCTGGCCGTCTGGCCAAACTGAGCTATCGGGGGAGAAGAGCCTTGGTGAGAGAGGTAAAGAAGAACCCAAAGATCACTGTGGCTGAGCTCCAGAGATGCAGTCGGGAGATGGGAGAAAGTTGTAGAAAGTCAACCATCACTGCAGCCCTCCACCAGTCGGGGCTTTATGGCAGAGTGGCCCGACGGAAGCCTCTCCTCAGTTCAAGACACATGAAAGCCCGCATGGAGTTTGCTAAAAAAACACCTGAAGGACTCCAAGATGGTGAGAAATAAGATTCTCTGGTCTGATGAGACCAAGATAGAACTTTTTGGCCTTAATTCTAAGTGGTATGTGTGGAGAAAACCAGGCACCTGTCCAATACAGTCCCAACAGTGAAGCATGGTGGTGGCAGCATCATGCTGTGGGGGTGTTTTTCAGCTGCAGGGACAGGACGACTGGTTGCAATCGAGGGAAAGATGAATGCGGCCAAGTACAGGGATATCCTGGGCGAAAACCTTCTCCAGAGTGCTCAGGACCTCAGACTGGAACTAAGGTTTACCTTCCAACAAGACAATGACCCTAAGCACACAGCTAAAATAACGAAGGAGTGGCTTCACAACGACTCTGTGACTGTTCTTGAATGGCCCAGCCAGATCCCTGACTTAAACCCAATTGAGCATCTCTGGAGAGACCTAAAAATGGCTGTCCACCAACGTTTACCGTCCAACCTGACAGAACTGGAGAGGATCTGCAAGGAGGAATGGCAGAGGATCGCCAAATCCAGGTGTGAAAAACTTGTTGGATCTTTCCCAAAAAGACTCATGGCTGTATTAGATCAAATGGGTGCTTCTACTAAATACTGAGCATTTTTCAGTTTTTCTTTTTTAATAAATCTGCAAAGATGTCAACAATTCTGTGTTTTTCTGTCAATATGGGGTGCTGTGTGTACATTAATGAGGAAAAAAAATTAACTTAAATGATTTTAGCAAATGGCTGCAATATAACAAAGAGTGAAAAATTTAAGGGGGTCTGAATACTTTCCGTACCCACTGTATATATATATATATCATTATAAAGTACTGAAAGTACTTTAAAGAAGCGTGGGAACCCTGAGTTATGCTAATTCAGAAGGAAAACTTTGTTGTCAGTGGACAGAAATATTACCCCGACAAGCCAATGTAAACATTTCAATTGCATTGTCTGTAAATTTGCAACAAACAAATATGCAGAGGTCCTTTTTTTATTAGTAGCTTACAGAACATTCTCAAAATTTTTTTAAGAAAAGGGATGAGTCAAAAGTATCAATTATTATATTAATTTAAACAATTATTATCAATTAATTATAATATTAAATAACATAAATCTTAGTGTCTTCATTGTTTAGATTTTTATAATGCATTAGCTTTTTGGCCTTAAATGTAAACAATTTAACTGAAGACGTTTTAAGGACCCGCGCAAACCCTAATAAGAACATAGTCCAGTGCAAACATTTGTCATGCATTTGGCAAAAAGCTTTTGTTGACTATTATTAAAAGATAATTCGATTGCATTAAGAAATACTGATGGTTTTATGTAATTGATCTTGAGTTTTCTTCAAATAGTATAATCCTGATGTTGTCTTACATTTTATAATTCTTATGATTGTTTATAATAGGACACTCAGCCAAATTCGGCAGCTACAAGTTGATGCACAATGAAACAAACACAATTGTGGATATACAACTAATTCAGGTTAGTAATTCCTAAACATCTACAAGGAACTGTTATACCTTTTTAAAAATCTGTTACTGTTTCTACGTGCATATTTTAACTTGTGTACCTAACAACAGAGCAATGAAGTCGGTGGAAGTTACAAGATGGAAAAGGAAGGATTAAAACGTTGCCTTCATAAGCTGGAGGTTGACTGCATAGTCACCGATCGCCATCCGCAAATTCAGAAGTACCTAAGAGAACGCAGAATCACTCAATTCTATGATGTGTGGCGCTTTGAACAAGGTAACTATTTAGCATCGAGTTATATACACAATACACCTTTTTTAGAGGCTTGGTCGTGTAGATTTTTGATTTGATGATCTTGAAATAATAATTGTACAAACGGTCTTTTCATTTGTACAGGTTTGTCTAAGAAACTCGAAAAGCTTTCGCAAAGGAAGGAATGCGAGGTGGTGAAGAAATGGCTGAAAAGCATCAAAAACCATGTTTACTGGAGTGCGACTTCCTCTGTGTCTGGCCCGGAAAAGGTGGCAAAGTGGACATCACAATTGAACCACATACAACATGTACATGTTTAGGTTTAGGTATACGTAAGGTGGGAGGAGTTGGATGTGGATCCAACCTCGCTCCCTGGATCTTGTGTTCTGCAGTGAGGACCATCTCCAAAAAAGGGGGAATGCACGGCAAAGCCAGTGAAAACAGACCCAACATACAGTAAGTTGTAATATTACTTTTATTAACAACAATGTAAAACATATAAATAACTATAAGACAGCTAATATAAGCAAAATAAATACATTTTGAATAAATATGACAGTAATGTAAATTGTACAACAAAGGTAGATTGTTTCTCAGTAATTACATAAAACAAAAGAGTGACTTGGTATTTTGTCTTATTAATAGGCTACGTGGATGACCTCATGAGCCTTCTGCTACATGAGGTCTTTTTGGACCCCGCGCCATATGTGGAAGAGCTGCAGTCAATCCCAATTCCACCAACTCAGCTGAAATTATTAACTAGCTCACATCAAAATTAATATTAGCCTCGCAGGGAACACTCAAATAACACTCCACACCTAAACACTCACAAGCTGTAGTAAGATACTGTGCAGATCTTCAATAAACAATGTCAAGATATATAGTCCTTTATAAATGTAAAAATAGATTTTATATGATGTTCATTGTGTGTTATAAATAATCATAATCTTAAAACTTAACCACAAATGCGTAAGCATTATAATGTATTATAATTGTTATTATGATTATTTATAAGATGATATAACATATTATAAGGTCTTTTATAATGCATTATGCATTCATTATAATGCCTTAAGAATACTCTTATAATGTGTTATAAATATGGGCTTCATTGAAAGGGTTACCGATTGTTCTTTAAAGCTCATCTTGGAGTTGCTGTCATAGCAACAGGTCCGTGAGCTCAAACCTGGGGCTTGTACCATGAAGCTGGATTAGCTGGCTAGCCAGGTACGTGTCAGTTTAGTTTGCACCAATCCTGGGTTTTAGGTACCATGAAAGTGGCTTGGCTTTTAGCAGCGTTCATTGCCTTAGTAACTTACACTCCACGGCTAACCTGCTCCGGGGCAGGTTATGTTCTGAGTTAGAGATCTCAAACTGAAATTGGACCAATCAGATGTGAGCAAAGTGACATGTCTGACACAAAAAAGTCACTCCCCCAGTTTATCTTGCTACGAATGAAAGGTCACTAGTACTAAAAAAAAATGTCTGGCTTTAATGATAATTACTTAGTTATTTTATAAGATTTATATAATTATATGATTTCTATTATTATTAATGCATTACACACAAGCAATTTTAGTTTAACAGTTATTATAAATCATTTATTTTAAA